GTGTGTGTGTGCGTCTGTGTGTGTGTGTGTGTGTGTGCGTCTGTGTGTGTGTGTGTGCGTCTGTGTGTGTGCGTCTGTGGGTGTGTGTGTGCATCTGTGGGTGGGTGTGTGTGCGTGCATCTGTGTGTGTGCGTGCACGTGTGCGTGTGCGTGTGCGTGTGCGTGTGTGTGTGTGCAGGAGGAAGGGTGACCCTCGGAGTGCTGAGAACTTCCTGCTGGATTCTCTGAAGTCGTACGTGTCGGAGAGCTGGAGTCTGCCGCTCACACACACACGCAAACAGATCGCAGAGTGTCAGAAACAGCTGCAGAAGATGGACGAGTATCCTTCACTCTTCACTGAGCATCATGATACACGTCACACACCAGAGAGGAACAGATAAAGGGCTGAGATTATGAAACTGAAATAAATATAACGACATTTCTGTTGATTTTACTGTAGTTTTATATTTTAATACTTATATTTTTATCATTTATTTATATTTACTAAATAAAAAAAAAATATATATAATAAATTATATATATATATATATAATTACATTATTGTATTTTTATTTATTTATTTTTGTGTGTGTAAATGTTTGTCATCAGCTGTCAGCCGTGGGTGTGTGTGGTTTCTTTGACCGTGTGTGTAGATACCTGCAGACGAGTGCTCTGCTCGCCAGCGACACCAACCTGAGCGATGACGAGAGGAGACACTTCTGCCAGGAGATCCTGACCTTTGCCAGCCAGACCGCAGAGGGCAAAGGTCAACAGAAAGGTCAGCTTTGTGCTCTGAGTGTGTTTACTACAGCTGTCACAGCTAATCCTTTGAGCACAAAAGCAGTCATAAGGGTCAATTTTGTGAATAAATAAAGTAAATAAATAATCTTTCCATTGATGTATGGTTAGTTAGGATCGGACAATATTTGAAAATCTGGAATCTGAGGGTGCAAAAAAATCTAAATATTGAGAAAATCATCTTTAAAGTTGTTCAAATGAAGTTCTTAGCAATGCATATTACTAATCACACATTAAGTTTTGATATATTTACGGTAGGACATTTACTAAATATCTTCATGGAACATGATCTTTACTTAATATCCTAATGATTTTTGGCATAAAAGAGAAATGTATAATTGTGACCCATACAATGTATTGTTGGCTATTGCTACAAATATCCCCCAGCGACTTAACACTGCTTTTGTGCTGCAGGGACACATATCAGAAATGTGTTTAAAAAGCATGTCACCGTTATTGAAAAAAATGATATGGCGATATAGTCAGCCGTGGGTGTGTGTGGTTTCTTTGACCGTGTGTGTAGATACCTGCAGACGAGTGCTCTGCTCGCCAGCGACACCAACCTGAGCGATGACGAGAGGAGACACTTCTGCCAGGAGATCCTGACCTTTGCCAGCCAGACCGCAGAGGGCAAAGGTCAACAGAAAGGTCAGCTTTGTGCTCTGAGTGTGTTTACTACAGCTGTCACAGCTAATCCTTTGAGCACAAAAGCAGTCATAAGGGTCAATTTTGTGAATAAATAAAGTAAATAAATAATCTTTCCATTGATGTATGGTTTGTTAGGATCGGACAATATTTGAAAATCTGGAATCTGAGGGTGCAAAAAAATCTAAATATTGAGAAAATCATCTTTAAAGTTGTTCAAATGAAGTTCTTAGCAATGCATATTACTAATCACACATTAAGTTTTGATATATTTACGGTAGGACATTTACTAAATATCTTCATGGAACATGATCTTTACTTAATATCCTAATGATTTTTGGCATAAAAGAGAAATGTATAATTGTGACCCATACAATGTATTGTTGGCTATTGCTACAAATATCCCCCAGCGACTTAACACTGCTTTTGTGCTGCAGGGACACATATCAGAAATGTGTTTAAAAAGCATGTCACCGTTATTGAAAAAAATGATATGGCGATATATATTGATATTGAATTATTGTCCAGCCCTATGGCTAGTTAGGACAAAAACTCGGATTAACATGGAAAAGATACCTTTTATGTCGTGTCGCTAGTATTTGTATTAATCTGGTGTTTCTGGGCTCTGACAGATGCTCGTGTGGCTCTGAGCATGAGCTCCTTCACTCGGCTGCAGGAGCTGCGCTTCCGTCCGTCCTCGGCGCTGGTGCATGTGAGCGCCGCCCTGCAGCTGGAGCTGCGTCTCTGCAGTCTGATGCCCGTTCCTGTGACGCTGGAGCAGATCTCCGCCAGCATACACTTCACACAGGAGCAGCCGGGCTCCACGGCTCAGAAACGGGCCGCTCAGAACCCCGACGGCACCGTGACCTTCCCCGCAGCCAGCCCTGCGTCTGCGTCTGCGTCTGCGCTGGAGCTCTGTGAGATCCTGGAGCACAGTCCATCCGATAACGTGCTGAGCTCCGCCGGCGTGGCCTGCAGGAACATGCACCTGCTGATGCGCCAGAACGACAGCGCCACCTCGCTGGACACGCCTAACACCGCACTGACCGCACTCACTCTGGAGGACGGAGCGCAGATGCTGAGGGCCAGTGATGTCACGCTGTTGCCTGGCAACAACAGCATCGTCTTCACCGCGCCTGTGAGAAGAGCTGTTTCATTTCATCAGATTGTAGCAGAGATTCCCAAACTGGAGAAACACTCATAAAGAATCATAAAAATCTAAAAATAAAATAAATATAAAACATTATTTTATATATATATATATATATATATATATATATATTAAAGTATAATCAAAATAAAACACTTCCTAAAAATAAATCATAAAAATGCACTTTTTAATATTCAGTAATTTTAAAGTAAAACACTTTAGATTAAATAGTAATAGTAAAAATATCAAATTAAAATAGATAACTTATTATTATTTTGATTTACTATTAAACTTGCAGGATGTTTTACTGGTACAAAGACCTTATGTGCCAAAAGATCAAGGCAAATTTGATTTCTCATGTCATGACCCCTTTAAAATAAAAACAAAACAAAATGTAAGCACAAAAATGTAAAATAAATTATAAAGTAAAAATAAATCATTTAACATTTACTAAAAATTAAATAATAAAAATATTTAAAAAATAAATCATTTTAAAATAAAAGCAGTCAGAATTAAACACTAAAAGTAATGAAATCGTAAAAATGTAAAGATAAAATAAATTATTAAAAATAAAAACTCTCAAAATAAAACACTTGCTAAGATTAATTAATTCATAAAAATGTAACAAAATAAATGTAAAATAAAAACTTTTAAATAAAATGTTTACTAAAATTAAATCAATCATAAAAATGTAAAATAAAAATAATTTAAATCATAAAGTAAAATTAAAATGAGTAATTTTAAATAAAACGTAAAAATAAAACGCTTACTACAAATTAAATCATAAAAATGTAAAATAAATAATTTAAAAAAAAAAGTTTTAACCTACATGTCATGTGACCACTGACCAACATTAAAAAACCATGTGAATGGTTAAATTATAGAAATATTAACTTAAAATGTCAGGGGAGACATCGAGTAAATATTTTGTCAAAGGGGTTCAGCTGACAAAAAAGTTTTGGGAATCTCAGGCTTACAGGGTAAAAATGTGATAAACACCACATTTTCGTGTGATTTCATACATATTTTTAAAATGACTGAATGTGTGATTTTGTCAGAGTCAGAAGCCGGGTGTGTATACTCTCCGGCAGCTGTGTGCGACGCTGGGCCAAGTACAGTTCATTCTGCCACATCTTTACCCTGTGGTTCAGTATGAGGTTTACTCTCAGGAGCCTCAGCTCAGCATCCAGCCGCTCACAGGTCAGTGAGTGAGTGAGCGAGCGTGAGAGTAAATGAGCGTGAGTAAATGAGCGTGAGAGTGAGTGAGCGTGAGAGTGTGAGTGAGTGAGCGTGAGAGTGAGCGTGTGCGTGTGTGTGTGTGTGAGCGAGTGAGTGAGTGTGAGAGTAAATGAGCGTGAGAGTAAATGAGCGTGAGAGTGAGTGAGCGTGAGAGTGAGCGTGTGCGTGTGTGTGAGCGAGTGAGTGAGTGTGAGAGTAAATGAGCGTGAGAGTGAGTGAGCGTGAGAGTGAGTGAGCGTGAGAGTGAGCGTGTGCGTGTGTGTGAGCGAGTGAGTGAGTGTGAGAGTAAATGAGCGTGAGAGTAAATGAGTGTGAGAGTGAGTGAGCGTGAGAGTGAGTGTGTGAGTGTCTGCAGTGTCTCAGGCTCACCTGAGGTGTTTGTTGTCTCAGAGCACCTGTTGGCCGGTCTGCCGCAGCAGGTGAAGTTCACTATCCTGACGGGTCACTATTCGGTGAAGAAGGGCGACGCTCTTCAGCTCAGTAACACTGACTCCATGCCTGTGCTGCACTCGTCCACATGCAGCGCCCGCATCCTCAGCAGCAGCGCAGGTGAGAGACGCTTCAGATTACACAATAAATACACACTGATCAGAAGACTTAATAAGCATGTATTAAATTATCTCATGTAAAATTAAAACAAATCATTTTTATAATAACACTCAAAATAAAACTATTAAAATTAAATAAAAACATAACATTAAAATAAATAATTTCAAAATATGTATAAATAAATATATAAATAAATTGTAAAATTAGTAATTAAAAAATGTTTTTTATTCCAGTATACAGAAGAACAGAATTTACATAAGGAGTAAAAATATAGTACATTAAAAAAAAAAAAATAATAATATATATTTTATTGAATTGAATGATTCAGATCATCAAACTAATTTTAATATGACACAAAGATAACCCGAGGAAATACAAAATGCAGTTTTGAAATAATGATTTCATTTATTAAAGGAAAAAAGCTGTCCAAACCTGCCTGGCACTACGTGAAAAAGTGTTTGCCCCCTAAATCTAATAACTGGTTGTGCCACTCTTTGCAGCAACAACTGCAATCAAGTGTTTGTGATAACTGGCAATGAGTCTTTCACATCGCTGTGGAGGAATTCTGGCCCACTCTTCTTTGCAGAATTGTTTTAATTCAGCCACATTGGAGGGTTTTTGAGCATGAATGGACTGTTTAAGCATCTCAATCGGATTTAAGTCCGGACTTTGACTTAGCCACTCCAAAACCTTAATTTAGTTTTTCTTGAGCCATTCAGAGGTGGACTTGTGGTGTGTTTGGGATCATTGTCCTGCTGCAGAACCCAAGTGCGCTTGAGCTTGAGGTCACAAACTGATGGCCGGACATTCTCCTTCAGGATTTTCTGATAGAG